GGACAAGCGAGCCGTTAGGAAGAAGGACCGAGGTTCGAGGCGGAAGAAGAGGAGGGCCCAGAAGGCCCCGTTCGCTTGGCCCGTCCTGGGGGTTTCGCTCTGGGCTGCGCTACAAAAGCCCTACCCCTATCCTGTGGAATCCCTTGGGGCAAAAAACGATCCTCGTCCCTGGTCTTTTCCAGAGAGAAGCTCTTCGGCCCCTCACTGCTGGCGCCTAAAACTGGCAGCTCAAAGTCCCCGCGAGCTTGCAGTTCCAAGAAACGGCGACTACCCACGAATGCTGGCGGAACGAAGGCGCGAGCCTTGCTCAGAGGATCCACGGCGCCCCCACCCACAGGACGAGGTCCAGGCACTGCAGCAGTTTTTACTTCTGGAACCGCTCCAAAAGACGAGCCGCATCCCGTTCGAGAGATCCTCTCGGTGCTCCCCCATGTTTGCGCACCGCCCCGCTCGCCTTCAGATAGGACTCGATCGCCTCCTCCAAAGGCCGATACTTCACGTCGACAGCGAGAGTGATCCGAAACTGCTCTGGCTTTCCCTCGACCTTTTTTTGTGGGGCGGATGCGGCAGGCGCGAACTTCGTTGGCTAAATCCTGCACGGGCTTTTTCACCGCGACGGTCGTCCAGTGCTCTTCCAGGATCTTCTCGGCAGCGGGCGGGCAATTCGGGTCCGTGCCCATCCCATGAATGAACGCACTCCACACGTGCAAAAAAGGGGGGCCCAGATCCTCCTGCATTCCCTCCGACGACTCCTTCATCTGCTGAACTTTGTTGTGATAGGCCGCCCCCGCGGCCTTGGCCGCGCGAGCTGCAGGGTTCGTCACCTGGATCAGCCACGTCTGGAAGACTACCCCGCACACCTCGCGCAGCTCCGCTGCATTGCTCAACGCGAGCTTGGTCAAAATGATGATTAATTGCCTGAGAATCGCTTGCTTGCCGCCGCCTTGTGCTGACTGTGAAGCTTGGTCCACTAGCGCCTCGGCCGCGTCTCCAACGCGCCTCTGCTTGTGCCTCGGTTCCTCGCCAGCCAACATCCAGGCCGGCTTCTCGTCCATCGCGCGAAGAAACTTTGGGAGCGCTCTCAAGATGTGTGCAAAGATGCTTCTGCAAATGCTCGAACAGTCCAGCTACATACGGACATGCGGACACAGTGGACAGGCTAGAGATGACGGCGCACGAATTTCACAAAGATTACGCGTAGCATCGGCAGCACACCCTCCTCGTCTAAGACTCTGCGAAAGATGGCGACGACAGCTTTCACGATGTGCAAAGACCACACCACATACACAGCACTGAATGGACACAGACATTCCGTGTGCAAGCTCTTGAAACCCGTGATGTGCTATTATGTGCGTGTGTACCGCGCGTCGATCTCGTAGTATGCGCCCGCAGACCTCCCCAGTAGGACCCAAAAGCGAACACCTATATGCACCTTCGCAAACACCATCCTGAAGCATCCCTGGAATCTCATCCACGTCTAGAAACTCGACTGGTGGAACCTGAGCCCCGAGTACCCGCGAGCGAAGTTGACGAACGTCGATCCTGCAGAACTCTTCGCTAAACTCAGGGTCCGAGAAGGCAAGAAAGACTCGATCTTCAAGTCGTTCAGTGAAAGACGCACCCTCATCAAGGTCGGCGAGGGCTCGAACATCTGCAAGCAACTGACGAGCCCACGGTGAGGCCCATCTCGAAAGCCGCTTCTCGGGCGTCACCACTGGTTGTGAAACTTCAAAATGCCCAAACAGCGCAGTGAGGACCTGTTGGTTAGCCAGCGGTGTACGTTACAGAGACTGCCAATAGCGCAGGCGACGAATAGTAAGCTCCGTCTCTAACGGGACAAGGCGCCACCAGCGGAGCACAGCAGCAGAAGTCATCGACTTAGGGTGACCTGGAGCCTCCCTGTCACGTGCCCTCCCTCCCATCGCCCTTCGAGCATGCCCAGCCACCATATTGTTCAGCTTAGATAAATCCTGCGGACTCGGCGTGAAACCTTCAATGCCAGAAAGTGCAGTATTATATATCTTTGAAATAGATATACAGCGGCGAAGCCCATGGGGAATTCCAGGAAAACTCCAGAATCCTCCAAGAGAGTACCAGGCTCGTTGCAAAGCTTTTCCCCGAGACTTCAATTCAGGCCCAAAGTTAGACGCCCTCGAAGCCATGAAAAACCCAAGACTCTTGATTTCCAACGAAGCAGCACCAGGAAACGTAATGAGACCATCCCGAATCTCCCGAAGATCAGCGGCAGCTCCAGGACCACGTAGAGACAACAGAGTATCCTGCTTAGTAACATTCTGCTTGAAACCGCACGGCTGAAGGGCAAAATCCAGCTCCTGGTTGGATCTCGCACTCTTGTTGGCTAGAATCATCGTCGTATGGCCAGCAAACTTCTTAGTCAAATCGTCGGCATACTTAGTTAGTGAGAGATCCACCGCTTGGCTAGTGAGGGGACAGCGTGCACGCATAAGAGCAGAGAGCGGATCCCATTGATGCTGAAGATCGCTCCACTGGCACACTGGCGGCAGAAACGTCCGCACGAACGTGTTCACGGCAAATCAATCTCCCATCAGCCCCCCACAGCCCGGCTTCAAAATAACATCCCCGTCGCTCCCCTTGAGAATCGTCATGGCACAATCCATGCGCTGTGCAACATATCCCCTATCCTGTTCACGAAATAGATCAGACGCTGCAACCCGCATGCACTGCCTATCGCTGGAGGCAAGCGCATTCGTGAGGTCATGGGCATTCGTGATGTAGGAGAGACCGCGCTGCTCCAACCACCAGCCCGTCGTACTTTGCACGATGAGAGCCCCCTCCCGCCTCCGATGCTGCAAGAACCCATGATCCTGGACAGAAGCCTGAAGGGGCCCTTTTTGCCTCATGAGCCCAGCCACCCACGCCTTCCCCAACGGATCCAGCAAATGTATCCACCTAGACTTGCCGTCGGGTCGCGGAAGCGGCACCGCGCGACTGACGCGCCACCTCAGCGGCGCACAATGACAATGTCGCACAAGAGACAGCGCACGCAATAACAGCTCTTGCCCAAAACTCATATCAGGAACAGATTGTGACATCCCAAGACCTTCCCCTCTGTGAGACCAGGCCTTCCCAGGATGTAGAAGCGTCCACCAGAGCTCCAAGGGGGGGCACCACCCAGGAACCGCGCGACGCTTACCTGCTTTATGGATCGCAACCTTCAGGAACCTGTAATCCCGCTCGGCCTGAGAAACTTCGGCTTCGGAAAAAAAAGCTACCCACGGAGAACCCCTCGCAGAACCTCCTCCTTCCACGTATCCCAGGACTCGACCACCCGACTCTCCATCCCCCCTTCATTGCCTTTCTTCGAAAACTGGGCCACTAAACTGGCTGAATCCTCCACCACTCCTCGCGCCGCCTGATAATCTCGCTTCTTAGGGCCCCACCGAGGCCCTGCCAGACGTCTAGCTATCCTCGAGGCCTCCGCCAGGCGCCGAGCCCGCCAGTGCTCTTGAAGTTCTGCAACCAGATCTTGCTGCACCAGGAGCCGTTCACGCCGACGATGTGTTCGATTACGCTTAGACAAATCCCGTAATCGTGCAGCAATCTCCTCCCCCTCCTCCTCCTCCGAAGTAGTCCCCTCAAGCCGTCGTCGAAGCCGAAGTCGCTCAGCAAGAAGCTCCTCTCGCTCCTGACGAACGCTCTGACGAGCGTCACTCACGAACGTCGCCTCCGTGAAAATCTGCTGTCCAACTTCGATCAGAATCATGTTCATACGATCAAAAAAGAGTCAGCCGCCACCGAGTTCAGATCAGCTTCCAGAGAGCCTCCTTCAGCTTGAAGTCGTCGCTCTAAGGCCTCTAGGAATTCACGACGGCGCGTACCGCCCCGCACGCATCGCATGATCAGGTCAAAGTTCCAGAACGGCCTCTTCGCTTGTGCCTCCTCAGAGCCAGCAGGCGCCAGCTCATATGGGACCAGGGCATGTACCACTAAGTGACCACATGGCTTAGCCTTAGGAATGATTTGCAGATCCCGACTGAGTCCGCGCAGAAGTCCCGCAGCCTTCATCGCATGCACCAGCGGTCGGGGCAGGCATACGTAGTCGATGCGCGACGCGTGACCCCTGCTCGAGTAGAAGGTGGGCGCATACCCCCGAAAGGTGTTGGCAGCCTGTAGATCATGTGCGGCCAGGATGGGACCCATCACGGCACCTGCATAATGAGCCTGCGTAGCCGTCCCACTCGGCACCACATTCAAATCATCATATACCCATTTGCCACTGTCGTCTCTGATTCGGCCTAGTCCTTCATTGAGGTCACAGCAAAAAATTGGCGTCGTCCGCGACGGCAGTGAGGCAAGACATGTTGCAATCCACTCAGCCAGGCGATCACACGTGGTACGATAGCAATCCTGTGCCGCAAGCTCTCTCGGCCGCGGCGGGAAATAGGCAGCAACCACAGTCACATCCAGAATACCATTCTTCGCACGAGTGAGCAATCCTCTTCCTCGAACAGATGCAGGCGCAGGTGTAACTTGTACGATGTGCTCAGCCTTGACCTTCCTGCCCCGGATGATGCTGCACCCGCACGCGTTAGTCACGTAGGGCGACGTCACATAGCCAACGTCAATGCATAACCTCTGGATGTTCTTGTTCTCGCCAGCGTTGATCATCCGCCTCCTGACCGTCGTGCCTGTAGTTGCTTTCTGCTTGGTGCCTATAGCTGCGACAACATCGAAGTGTGCCATTCGCCGAGCAATGTCCTCAACCCTGTCAAGCGTATTGGCAGATAAGGGATTGTAACTCCCAACTCTGAGATCAAACATCCCCACTCGGCACAGCAGCCAGCAGCGGAGAAACATCAACAAGTCCACGTAGTTTGGGGTAAGCGTAAGTGTAGCTACATTATCAGATGCGCCCCGCGGCTGCGCACCTGTGCCCAGGGGCTGAGGAGGAGGAGGAGGAGGAGGAGGAGGAGGAGGAGGAGGCCCTGCATCCCCTGCAGCTCCCCGCAGGCCCCCACCGACGTGCACGGGGTGGTACGGCGTGACGCGCGCTCCGCCAGGGAGCGCGGCGAGCCACGCGCGCCTGTCGCCCCAGCCCCGCCCGGCAGGTGGCGGAGGAGGGGGGCCGAGGGGGAGGAGGGAGCAGGGACGGTCGACAACGGATCGATCAATCGCATCGGTTCGGGGCGTGCTTCGGATCGGGCGGCATCGGCACGGAGTCGGAGTCGAATCGGTTCGGCGGCGCCAGGATGCACAAGAGCGCGAGGAAAAAGTGGGACATGGGGGGAGGGCGGAAGGGAGCAAGAGGGGGAAATCGATGAGGGAGTGGAGGAGGGGGGCGGAGGCCGAGGAGCACGTGGGGGGCGGAGGAGGAAGAAGAGAAGGAGGCTGAGGAAACCGCTCATGATGACAATCAGGAGAATGACAATGACTGATGAGAAGATGCTGCTGCTTCGAGGGAGGACAAGGCGACAGATGAGGCAGACGACGAGGAGCGAGAATAGAAAGAGGGGGGAAAGGCCGAGGGTGATGACGAGAACGAGGAGCGCGGAAGAGTCGCCGGCGCTGCGCGAAAGAAAGCCAGAAGGACCAGCGCTCTGTGAAAAAGCAAAGCAGCGAGGCAGAGACGGGCACCGGAGCGAGCGGGTGCGACTCTGACAGGAGCCCGGGCGGCCCGACGACCAGGAAAGCGAAGGGGGAAGCCAGGAGGAGGTGTAGCGCAGCGTGCGCGAGGAAGTGTCGCTGGGTAGTATCGCGGTCGAACGAGTACAGCTCGAACTCGACCACAAGAAACCTCCCACAAGAACCCAATCCTGAGACCTCGGGACGTCCATTGATTTGTGGTGCGGGAAAGTCACGCCTTCCATAGCAAAGCCATCGACACGCGAGAAATCCATGGCACCCTGGAGGCAAGCAGGGTGTTTCTTGGCATGTGCCTTCTTTGTAACCAGGAGGCGCAGGCGCCCCGAAGATGTCGCGGCCGAGTGTCGCCACACGGGCCGAGCCCATTCCAGACTCAAAACGGCCAAGTGTGTGGCCCTCGAAAGACCGACTTGTGATCGGATGGATGCCTTCCGCTCCACGGTGACGGCCAGGCGGGGCCCCAGCCCTTCTCGCATCGCTGGCGTCTCCGCACTAGCCCCTCGCATGTGCAATCCCCGCGCTATAATTGAGAAAAGGTCACATCCACTCACGGCGCGGATCTTCCGCAGCTGCGCTGAATCGCAAGCCTTCTGTGCACGCTTGCGCCCTTCTCGCACGAGATGATCGCAGCGCCGTAGCTGATGCCACACGGCATGCTTTTTCACATGATCGCCACTGCATGCCCGTGCTTGTGTCACGCGCACTCTTGAGCCACGACCGCGTCTGCTGCCATAGCCCTTCGCTGGCTTTGACGATGAGCCCAGCACTGTAACTGACGAGTTTGGGTTCGCGCCTTTCCTCTTATCCTGCTGCCACTTCCTGCCGCACGACGTGGCGCCACTGTCTGACGCTTCGCCTTTTCGCCCTGTCCACAACGCTGTAGCTGACCGCGTCTGCGATCATGTCTCTCCGCTGGCTTCGACGATGGGCCAAGCACTGCAACTGAGGACGTTGGGCTCGCGGCCTTCCTCCAACCATGCTGCCACTCCCTGCCTTTCTCGCACGTCTTATCATGTCTCGCACGAGAAGAGCACAGCGTTGTGGCTGAAGGTATTGACTCGTAGCTGTGTCTCGCACGACCGCGCGCAGCAACAGAGCCCACTGCCACTGCCTGCCTTTTCGCACGACACGAGCCCCGCACTGTAGCTGAGAACCTGTCCCACGAGCACCTTCTCGCACGAGCGAGCCCCGCACTCTGGCTGAGACGTGCCTCGCACGACCTCCGTTTGCAGCAGCTGAGTCCGCTGACACCGCCTGCCTTCTCGCACTGGCTGATCCCGGCGCTGTAGCAGAGATGAATCTCTCGCCCCGCTCCGCGCAGCAACGCTCTTCTCGCACGCCCTAGCCCCAGCGCTGTAGCTGATGGCATCGGGCTCTAGCTTTGCCTTCCGCAGCTCATCGGGTAGCGACAGAGCCTGTTGCCGCTGCTCGCCCTTCTCTAACCCAGTGCCAGATGCTGCCACTGCGTGCTTTTTCGTAAGAGCTGGTCCCTGCTTTTTTGCTGATGACCCTTTCCTGCTCCCGCCTTCTCGCACACACGTGCTGCCACAGCCGGCCCATAATTTCAAGCAGGGGTCCCAGCACGGTAGTCAGTGACGTGTGTCTGTGGTTGTTCCCGCACGTGCTGCTCCCATTGTCTCTGCTCATGCTGTGTGGCTCGTGCTTCTGGGCCGGCGGTGCCTGGTCGTCGCTTTTGTAGCTGATGACGTCGGACTCCGCTGGCTGTCTCTGGTGCCGAGGAGGATGGAAGGAAAAACACGGAGTGTCAGGAATGAGAGGACTGCAGGCTGATCAGGACCAGGGGGGGGGCGGAGATCACGACGAGATGGTGGAAGGGGGGTAAGAGGCGGGCGATGATGGGACATGCAGCACAGTCCTCTGACGAAGCACTTGCCCTACGTCTCTTTCAGACGTGATTCGATGTTCGGCTTGTTGGGGTATCACCGCAAAGAAGTTCAACCAACCCACTACCACTTTCACTCTGGCTAGATGGTGGGTCCGTGGATAGAGGCAGTGCAGCAGTCGTCCGTCGCGTGTGGGGTCCAGAACTGCAGATCCTCTCCAGGACGCTGACAAGGAGGCACGCGATAAGGACTCTGCCTCCCCTTGCCAAGCCTTCAAAAGCGACCGACAAGTTTTCGAAGCCAGAGAGGTCCCCAAGCAATTTCCAAAATTCTCCCCTCCCCGTCCCTCTCCTCCCCCCCCCTTCTACTCCCCTGCGCCCCCCTCGGTTCCCCCCCTTCGCACCGAGGGCCCCGACTCCACGCGGATCCCTTCTCCTTCCTCCCCGCCGTCCCTGGGAGACTCTGCATTTGTCCCCAGACGCCCCCAAAAACCTCCGCATGTCCCGGGAGTCTCCCGGCGGGAGACCACGCACGCCCAAAAACCTCCACCCTCGATTACTCCAACGTGCCACCTCCGGCTCCCTCGACTCAAACAACTGAAGAACCCTCCTTCTTTCCCCCCCCTCCCGGGCAGAATGGGAAGGATGAGGGGGGGCGGAGTGGAAGGAAGGGGGACGGAACAGAGGAATTGGAAGGCCCTCCCTCCCTCCTCCTCCTCCTCCTCCTCCTCCTCCTCCTCCTCCTCCTCCTCCTCCTCCTCCTCCGTCCCTCGCTCCCTCCCTCCCTCCCTCCCTCCTCCGTCCCTCGCTCCCTCCCTCCTCCGCGCCCTCCCCTGCTGCCGTGCCCCGCCCTGACGCGCAGGCGGTCTGCACCAGGCACTGCACCTGGGGGCCCCGAGGAGGCGGGGGGGGGTCCTCCTCCTCTCCTTCCCTCCCTCCTCCTCCTCCACCTCCTCCTTCCTCTATCCCCTCCGTTTCCTTCCTCCTCCTCTCTCCTCCTCTCCACCATCCACCTCCTCCTGCTCACCTTTTCCTCCTCCTGTATATTTTAAGACAACATAATCAGCGATATTCGCTCGTGCGCTGCAATTAGCTGTGTGTGTGTGTGTGTGTGTGCACTTCGACGCGCGGCATCCCCTGACCCCGCCCCCTCCCGCCGACCCCCTCCACGCCTCGGTTTTGGATTTTCCCCTCTTCCCCCCCTCCCTCCCCCCCCAACCCCTCTCTCTACCCTTCTCCGAGTGTTAGGGTTGTACTCCCCGAGTTGTTTATATGAAAGGTACAGTAATGGTTTACTGATGAGTAAAGTACAGGTTGCGACGGTGCGGATGGGAGGAGGACCCGAGGGCGCATGAGGAGGAGGGGAGAGGAGGAGGAGGAGGAGGAGGAAGGAGGAGGAGGAGGGGGGCCAGTGAGGAGAGGGAAGAGGAGTGAAGGAGGAGGAGGAGGACGGAGGTTGAGGAGGAGGAGTAGGAGGAGGGGGGGAGGAGGAGGAGGAGGATGGAGGAGGAGGAGGAGGAGGAGGAGGAGGAGGAGGAGGTTGGAGGAGGAGGGGAAGAGGGGGGGATAGGGGGAGGGGAGGAGGGGGAGGAGGGGGAGGAGTGGAGGAGGAGGAGTGTAGGAGGTGGAGTGTGGAGAGGGAGAGGGGGGGATGGAGGAGGAGGAGGAGGAGGAGGAGAGGAGGAGGAGGAGGAGGTGTGGAGGAGGGAGGAGGATGGAAGAGGAGGGGCGAGGGGGAGGGGTGGAGGGGGGAGTGGGGGTATGGAGGGGGAGGAGGAGGAGGAGGAGGAGGAGGAGGAGGAGGAGGAGGGGAGGAGGAGGAGGAGGAGGAGGGAGGGGAGGAGGGGAGAGGAGGAGGTGGAGGAGGAGGAGGAGGAGGAGGAGGAGGAGGAAGAAGAAGGACAGGAACGACGGTGGGGTCGGACGTGTCTTCCTACATGGGGGAGGAGGAGGAGGAAGAAGAAGGACAGGAACGACGGTGGGGTCGGACGTGTCAAACATGGTCAACACATACCCAGAACGGTTCGAACATAGTCAAACAATCGTCCCCTGACGTGTTTTCAAACTATTGCTTGAAGATTCTTCCTGTAGAGGGACACGCCCGACTGAAGATGAGGAGGAAGTGATTGGTGAGGAATTGCGCGGTTGAGTGATCGGGTGAGGGGGGGAGTGACGGGGGAGCATGACATCGAGGATCCAAGAGGGAGTGGCGGATGGGTGAGTGAGCGAGGAGCACGATGGGGAGGAGGAGGAAGTACGGCTGAATTGTATTAAGCTCCGCGGTCCTGCTCTAGGCAGGCCGAAAACATAAGAACCAACGCGTATCGGGGAAAACACCACCCGACTTTGCTGGGAGCCCTCTCAGGAGCCGGGAAGAAACCTCCGTGCCCGCCTCTGGAGGGCATGGACCTCGGGACGGGTCGCCACACTCGCCTTGAAAGATGCGGGGGGCACTCGAAAAAATAAACGCTACCGCGCGTCTGACAGAATAGAACTTCCCCTAAGTCTGCACGGTGATGAAGATCGTGACGCTGGTCCGCCAGACGGTGATCAAGCGCATCGCCATACAAGATATTAGGGCCCAGCTCGTCCAAGGGTGGCCCAGGATCGCCAAGTGGCCATGTGGGTCCAGGAGGAAGGACAACAACCCTCTGTTAGACGACGCGCCTAGGCTTGCCATGGGGGAGGGCCAGGCATTGGACAGCTTACCTCGCTTGCAGAACGCGAGGTGGCAGGACTGACAGCGCGCGAACAACGTGCCCCGCCCCGGGGGCCGACGGAAATGCACACATTGAAAGGTAGCGCTCCCGCGAGTTCGATGCGGCTCGCGGGGCTTACCTCGCTCCTCTCTGACGAACAAGCCTTCGCGCCTGGCGGCCAGCAGGCGCTTCGAAACTCAGAGGGCAAGATCATTTGCGCGCGTAGTGATCGCAGCTTCCTCGTCGCTGGCCTGAGACTGCTCCGCGGCCCAGTCAGCAGATCGATCGACTGACTTACAAAGATCAGAGTGAAGGGGCCGAACGGTCATGTATTGCCCCTGGGTGCTTCGCTGAATAGGGGATTCGTGGTGAGAGCTCTGCTTGTTGCGTGGTTGTTGTTGTTGCTGCTGCTGTTGTCGTTGTTGTTGTGCGGTCCAGTCAGCCAAACGATCGACTGATTACTACGGCGCACATCTACAACAGACAAATACACGTTGACGGCCTGGGCCTGAGCGGGGCGGCCTGTAGTCCACAGTGCCACGATCGAGCCCCTCGTGCTCGCCCATGACGCCATGCAACGGGGCTGAACCTGCACGGTGCTTGTCGTTCGCGTCTTGTCTTCGGTCTCCTTCGTTTTTGTCTTCGCAGTCCGCCTTGGCCGCAAAACAAGGCCGAGCCCTGCCATGCAAGCTGACGCGTGCACCCAGAATGCTCGGGCCCCAGGAGGCCATCCAATCCCGATGGGATCTCCAACGCGCAATTATGAAAGGGGCCCTGGGACACACAAACAAATTCACACAAATAACAGAATTCCAAACATAGTTCCATATGTTTGGGGTTTTCGTCTCCCCCCCCACTTCCAATATTTTCCCATCTTTCCCGGGGGGGTCGACGATTAATTGTGTCTGTGTCTTTTCCCCTCCTGAATGACGCATGCATCCGGAATGCTCGAGCTCCAGGAGGCCATCCGATCTCGATGGGGCCTCCAACGCGTAAGCAAGCAGCCGCACAATGCCCTCGCGCATGCCTCCCGCGGTGGCCGCGGCCCGCGGTACGAGGCCGAAGGGCTCGAGCGCGGCGGAGAGGTGGCGCACAAAATGGGCAGAGGACCCGCGCGACGCAGCACCGATCTCCCGCGGTGGCCTTGGCCAGCTAAATGAAGGCGAACATTAAGTCGGGCGCGTCGGAGCCCCGCCGCCTGGGGGCCCTGCTCGGCGGCAGCCCGCGGCGCCTCGGCGCCCGCCGTCATGGGCTGGCCCCGCTGCCCCTGCGCTGCTGGGTGGAGGGCCGCCTGGCCCGCCCATGTCCCGGTGCCTGGCTCGCCCACGGCGGTCTGCCCGCGGTGCGCCGTCATGGGAGGCTGCCCAGCGGCGGTCTGCAGCGCCATTCGCAGCGCCCACTGGTGGCCAGCCGTGCCCTGAGCCCCTTGGTGGGTGTTTGGCTGGCCCGCATGGCCTCCCCAGCCCCAGGCTCTGTCGGGGGCCCGCCCTTGGTGCGTCGGCTGCAAAGGCAGCCCAGTGGCGATCTGCTGCCCCCACTCGGGGAGCGCCGCGGGGGGCGCCTGCCACGGCCCCTGCAGCTCCGGGGATGTCACTGGCGTGCTCGCGGGCCTCCGTTGTGCCCCTGGTACCTCAGGCTGCGTCGGCAGCGGGGGCGGCAGGGCCCCCTCCTTCCCGCTGGCCTGCTGCTGCTGCTGCTGCTCCAGGACCTGCTGCACCTGCACCTGGTTGCTCTGCCCCTGCTGGGCTGCGCGCGTTCCCCTCCAAGGCGCAGCCTGCCCTGCCGCCGAACCTGTCGCCTGCCACTGGCGGAGCGCAGCCGTGTGGGCCTCCACTCCCTCTGTGTTCCCCTCCGGCTGCTGCGGCGGCACCGCGCCCGATGGGACACCCCTGGAAAGCCGGACGCCGGGTACTGCGCCTTCCCCACGGTGCCCCGGGGGCCTGCCGCCCACGGGAGCGGGGCCTGGCCTGGGGGAGGGCCACCCACGGCCGCAGCCCGTGCCCAGAGCTGCTGTTTCTTCTCATCTAGCTTCACTCACTCCGCTTTGACAAGGCGGTCGTCGATGGTGTCCTTGTGCGGCCCATCAGGCGGCGGCTTATTCTTTTGCCATTACGTTCGCAGCTGCGTGGAATGCGGACCTCAGCTGGCCACTGTGCTTGATCCAGTAGGCCGCCGCGTCCGCCGGCGCGGCCTCCAATCGGGCCTGCTTGGGGGCTGCGGGTTCTGCCATGCCTAGCTGTGTCTGGGGAGCCGATGCGTCTGCGGCACTTACCTCAAAGCTCGAGCCCGGTGCTGCGGAGGAGGGAGCGGGGCTGCCCGATCCCATGCCAAATCAACCCGTCGACTTGGTGCCAAGCCAACCTCAGCCCAGCCGCAAACCGGGGTTGCCGGCGTGCTGAAAGAGGAGGGGGGGCATCCCTTCCGAGGGAGACTCAGAGGAACGGCGACAGAGTGAGGATTGGGGCCTTGCCTTCCAGCCCTCCCACGCCCAACCCAGCCCTGTCCCATGAGGGAAAGTTGAGACAACTGGAGCCCCACAGCGGCACCCCGGGCGCACCAGAAACGAGGGAACGGCCCCCTATCGAAGTCTCAACCTGCCCTCCCAGGTGCTAGGAGGGAGAGAGGGAGGCAAGCAGGAGATGAGCGGCCACCGCATCTCGATCCAACCCGCCCACACCCAGCCCAGTCCCTCAAACAGGTCCTCAACCTGGCCCCCCCCCTAGCAGAGGACAGCGGGCGCGGTTAGCTTCTCTCCACCGCGGTAATCTGTTGCAAGGACTGGGAGGGAGGGAGAGAGGAGGAGAGGGGCGGGTCCCAGCCCAGCCCACCCCAATCCCGCCCACCCCAGCCCAGCCCAACCCAGGCCGCTCGGACTGAGAGGGAGGGAGGGAGTGAGGGAGGGAGGGAGGGAAGGAGGGGGAGAGGAGGAGGAGGAGAGGGAGGATGAGGAGCAGGAGAAGGAGGAGGAGGAGGAGGAGGAGAAGGAGGAGGAGGCGGAGGGTGAGGGGGAGGAGGCGGAGGGGGAGGGCGAGGAGGAGGAGGAGGAGGAGGACGAGGGTAACGTCTGCGAGTAGGCGCTCTGCGCGCAGGCGGAGCGCGCTCGGCGATGCCCCGCAGCCCTGGGCCCCCGGGCGCTCGACTTTTTCCCAGGGGCTGCACGGTTGGAGGCACTGGGCAGTGTTGCATCGGTGGCTCTCGCCGTAGCTCGTGCACAATAGAATTGAGTCGGGCCTGTCCCCAAATAGCAAATCAAGAAAATCAGAAGGATCGGGCTCGTCCCAATAGAAGGTTGTAGGAAAAATAGAAAATCAAGCAAATGCTCCAGACTCTTTTTTGGGGAAAAATCCCCATACTATGTTTGACTATTCTTGACTATTCCTCCTGTGGAGGGACAGGCCCGACGTAGAGCTCGCGCACGGTAGAATTTCAAACGTCCCAGCGATCACAGTGATGACAGCGCGTGTTGGTTCAACACGTGGCTCTCGCTTCAGCGCGACTTCTGCACCGACGGAAGGCGGCTCCTTGTCGAAAGGAGGCTCTCGCCGAACACTTTTCTTACATGGCATCGCTCGAGCTGTGCCAGTGTGGCACACATGCACAGATGGAGGCCTGGGCAGACGCTGACCACTTCTTGAAACTTGAAGACCCTGCCTCAAAAGTGCTCCCTATCTCGCGGAATGGCAGCCAGCTCCTGTTCGAAGCGGGGCATCTTGGGCTTTCTGTCCATCCTCGCCCTCCTGGACCGAGAGCTCGCTTGGGCGCCAGCGCCATGACCGCAACCAGGGAAGAGCATTTCCTCCGACGAGCTCGGGCGACCAGACCTGACTCCCGTGGCTCCTGCGAGACAGCGCTCAGCTCGCTCAGGCCGGCAGGCATCGCCCCCCCCGAAGCAGAAGCAGACGCCGCGTGCTGCTAGAAGCGGCACGCCCGCGCCGCTCTGCACGACCTGAGCGGCTCTGCCTTCTCCTCCCCCTCTGCTCCTCCTCCTTCTCCTCCTCCTCCTCCTCCTCCTCCTCCTCCAACTCCTCCTGTTCCACCTCCTCCTCCTCCTCCTCCTCCTCCTGCTCCTGCTCCTGCTCCTGCTCCTCCTCCTCCTCCTCCTCCTCCTGCTCCTCCTCCTCCACCTCCTCCCCTCCTCCTCATCCCTCCTCATCCTCCTCCTCCCCCCCCCCTCCCCTCCTCCTCCTCCTCCTCCTCCTCCTCCTCCTCCTTCTCCGTCTCCTCCCTCTTCCTCCTCCTCCCCTCCTCCTCCTCTCCTCCTCCTCCTCCTCCTCATCCTCCACCTCCACCTCACTCCACCTCCTCCTCCTCCTCCTCCGCCTCCTCCTCCTCGCCTCTCCTCCTCTCTCCTCCTCCTCCTCCTCCCTCCTCCACTCCTCCGCTCCTCCTCCGTCCTTCTCCGTCTCCTCCTCCTCCTACTCCTCTCCTCCTCATTCTCCTCCTCCTCCTCTCCTCCTCCTCCTCCTCCTCCTCCTCCTCCTCCTCCTCCTCCTCCTCCTCCCCCTCCCCCTCCCCCTCCCTGTCTCGACGCGCTCCTCCTCTTCCTCCTCGCCCTCCAGGGGAGGGAGGCGCCTGGGCCACCGCGCCGTCGGGCCCGGCCACTCGGTCACCCTTCCGCAGGCGACCTGCGCGCGAGTGTCGCGCGCGCGCGAGGGGGAACACCAGCAGGAGGGAAGGCGCACGAGGCTGGCGGAGGAGGGGAGCTTCGCCTCCTCGTCCCTTTCCCCCCCTCCTCGTCCTACTCCTACCTCCCTCGCACCTCCACCTCCACCTACTTCCTCCTCCTCCTCCTCCTCGCCCCTCCTGCTCTCTAGCGTCCTCCGCCACCTGCTCCTCAACATCCTCGTCGTCCTCGTCCCCGCCGTCTTCAGGGTCGGCGTCGCGCGCGCACGAGGGGAAAACCAGCAGGAGGAAACAGACGAGCGCGTGCCACTACTCGCAGAGTAGCTACTACTCGCAAATTGTCTGGGTCCGTCGAGGGGGATCTACGATTAATTACGTCGAAGCAGACATGTGTGTGTGTTTTTGTCGGACGTTTGCGAGTAGGCCCTTTGCCAGTGGTGGAGCGCGCCCCGTGAGGGAAGGCGCACGCGGTTGGCGGAGGAGGGGAGCAGAAGCGACTGGATGGAGGGGGAGCAGCACGGTCGGGACCGATTGCAGAAGGGCACCTGCGAGGGCACGAGTTTTTCCCGAGGGAGGCTCGTGCTCCAGAAATGGAGAGGGCACGGTACGCGACAATCAGCACCCAAGGGTGCCCATTGATTTCGCAGGGTCGATGCACCAGCCAAGCCCGGCTGCAGGGGGGAGGCTCCTTCTTCCAATGTGTCTTATCCTCCTCCCCTTCCTCCTCTTCTGGGGGAGGCGTCCTTCTCCTTCTCCTCGACCGCCTCCTCTTTCTCGTCGCACTCTTCCTCCTCATCTACCTCCGCAATGAAACAAGCTTAATTCTACTCTCCTCTCTCCCCTGATGACGTCCAAAATGATGTTCGCCCCCCCTCCGCGTTTTGTTTTTTACGCACCAAATTGCCGGGAGTTGGGGTTTCGCTTCGGAGTGTTGTCAAAATGTGAATCCTGCTGAAGCGCTGGCCTCATGTTCGGGCTTCCGCTCGTTCCGAATCGTGCTCCCGCTGCAGCGCTGGCCTCATTTCCGCGCTTCCGCTCGCTCCGAATCGTGTTCCCGCTGCAGAACTGGCCTCATGTCCGTGCTTCCGCTCGGTCCGAATAGTGCTCCCGCTGCAGCGCTAGCGTCATGATTTCCAGTGCCATGCCACGGCATGCAATGCAATGCTCTGTGGTGCTCCGCTGTGCGATGCCATTCTTTGCGGTACAATGCGTTGTGCTGCAATTCTCCACTACGCAACGCCACGCCATGCTATGACATACTACGCTCAGCCGTGCTCTTCTACGCCCTGCTATGCCGTGCTCTAAGTTGCATCGCGCACCCTCTCGGGATCATTGCCCTGCTCGACATCCGACTGTGCGAATAGAGAGGAGATCTACGCCATGGTAAGGGATGGAAGGGAGGGGTAGGACGTCAGATATGACGCAAGCGCATCTAGCTTGTCTTCCACCCCCTCCCCTGCCTCCCCCTCCTCCTTCTCCTCCTTCTCCTCCTCGTCCTCCCCCTCCTCCGGCGACGACGCGGTCACGGAGTGGGCGGCAAGGTCGGCAAGGTTGGGCGGTTTCTGGGGGGTGCAGAAGGAGGGTCAGGAGTAGGGGAGCAGAGAGGCAAGATGGGCTTTGGAGGGGGGAAAGAAATAAGAGGAGGGGAAGAGAAAGAGGGTGAATGGACGAGGGAGAATGGACGAAGGGGGAGGGAGGTCGGGATCGAGAAGGAAAGTGAGCAAGCGGAGGAGCTCGACCAGAAGAAGCGGAGGAGAGCTGACGCAACAGGTGTTTTTCGCCTCAAACAGCGGAGGAGAGATGAGAGCCAGGGCTTCCTGGGCCCTTCGAAGGTGAGACTGGCCAGGGGCGTTCGCTGCGAGGCAGGTCGCTCCCGTGCCAAACAAACAACAGCTCAAGCTGCGTCATGCCCTCCTCCTCCTTCTCCATCCTCCTCCTCCTCCTTCTCCCCTTTCTTCCTTCCCTCCTCCTGCTCCACTTCTCCCTCCCCTCTCTCCTCATCCCCCCTCTCCCACCCCTCATCTCTCCTTCCTCTCCTCTTCCTACTCCTCCTGTTCTTCTCATCCTTCCATCCCTCCCTCTCTCCCGCCTCCTCATGCTCCACTTCTCCCTCTCCTCATCCCCCCTTTCCATCCTCCCTCCTCATACCATTTCTCCATCCCCTACTCATGCTCCACTGTTGGTTCCTAATTATGTGAACGTCGTCTGGGCGGCCACTTGCGCAGTCGAGGCCTGGCCTCATCCCCCCCCACATTCTTCTCCATCGTCGTCGTCCTCCTCCTCCTCCTCTTCCTCCTTCTCCTCCTCCTCCTCCTCCTCTTCCTCCTCCTCCTCCTCCTCCTCTTCCCTCTCTCTGAATCCTCCTCCTCCTCCTCCTCAGCCTCGGCCTCCCCCTCCGCCTCAATCTCTTCTTTCTCCTTCTTCTGCTCTCTCTCACTCTCATCCCGTCGTCCTCCTCGTCGCCTACCGCCTTTATTCCTTTTCCTCGTGAACGACTTATCTCTGTCGCACCTCCAGACGTGTCGGTAGGGTGGGCCGGGCGTTTCGCCTCAAGCATCGTCATCCTGAAACTCGTTCGTAACAATTGCAATGGAGCTGTGGTGGTTTTCAAAACTGGGCTATCGCCTTAGCTCCGCGCACATTCGTTTCAAACACTTGCAATAGCTCAAGGGTGGAGATGGGGATCGTTTTTAAATGGAACTCTCGCCTTAGCGCCGCACGCATTCGTCCTATCATGTTGCAACAGTTACAGTGAAGGAGGGGGATGGGCTCGCTTTCAAATTGAAGCTCTCGCCTCAGCGTCGCGCACCAGCGTCTTCACATATTGCAGCACTTCTAATGATGGTGGCTTTTTCTTTCTCCCAAAATTGAGATCTCGCCTCAGCGCCACGCGCATTCGTATTTAAGGTGTTCCGCAACTAAGAGAATAGAGGGCGGTTCCTATTCAAGATGGGGTTCTCGCTGGAGACCTTCTTGAATAACTTGACGAAGCAACAAACATATGCAACAACTGCACGGATAAATGGCGGTTCCTCTTCACAATGGAGATCTCGATCTCCCGGGGTCGAGTCGAAACTGACCAGTTTTTCGCGCCGGGTCCAGCCGTTGCAACGAGGGGGGCCCTTTCTCCCTGGTTCTGCTGGATCCAACCAGTGCTGGGCCAAGTCAGCCCCGAAGCCTGCTCCAAGACGCTGCTCAGGCCCCGTGGCCCGTCCCCTCCGCCGACCGACGGGGCACATCTCGCCGTTGGCCAGCTGTGCGAACGAGCTAGCATCGATGCAGACCCTGGGCCCAACCGCCCCGGTGTGGCCCGGGCCACGTATCATCCAGGAGAAGGAGCCGCAGAGGAAGGAGGAGGGATGGGCCGGAGGACGGGGGGGGGGGGCCCAAGGATGGAGGAAGAGGGGTAAGGAGCTTGTATTCTGCAGCGCGACCAAAACTGATGTGAGGAATGGATGCCACCAGCGACATATAAGCCAAGGAATGCAAAGAGCAATCCTGCCTACCGCCGAACAGTTCTCGCCCGTTTCTGCCAGGGGAGACGGAGACGCTGACGAGGAGGGAGAAGGTGCGGGCAGGGCGGAGGCGAGGAAGGAGGAGGGAGCTCCAGAGCGAATGCAGTAGCTATTATGCAAAAAGCTGATGGGGTATGGTGAAGGAAACCTGACCTGAACCCACCCCGCAAGAGCTTCGAGCATGGGCCCTCAAGTATCGTCTCACGCCCCCTGGCGGCAGGCTGGAAAGGGAAGGACAGGGGGACGAGGAGAAGACGAGGGAAGAACAACACGCATCATGGCTGCAGTATGAGAGGAGGAGTGGCGGGAGGAGTGGGAGGGCGGAGGAGGGAGGGATGAGGAGAGAGGGAGGGGGAATGAGGAGGCTGGATGCAATTGCGCTGGAGGGAGGAGAACATGGAGAATGAGTAGGAAGAAAAAGAGAAAGAAGCGGAGACGGAGGAGGCTGAGACTGAGGAGAAGGGGGAGGAAATACACCGTCCTCATGACATGATCCTTCTTATCGCCCCCTACTCACTCATTCTCTCTCTCTCTATCTCTCTCCCGTTTTCCGTCTCCGCATCACTTCTACACCTGTGTCTCGCTGTACCTCTGTGTCTGTCTGTGTGTCTCCGTCCCTAGCTCTGGATGGCCGCGTGTCTGTCTCCCAGTACGTTTCTTACTATGTCTCTCCCTCTCTGTCTTTATGTCTTTGCTAGTTCTCTGTGTATCTCTATACCTTTATATTTCTATACCTGTACATGTTCTATGCAAATGCGCGCACAACTTTTTCTCTGCCTTTGTTTAGCCGCTTTCCCCAATCCGCTGACCCAGACCATTCCGTCGCGGGCCTTTCCCCGCGTGTTCGTTGTCACTGCCGCGCTGATGGGTGATGGTAGTTTCAGTAAGGTGCTGCGTGGGCAGTCATGGGCATCTCGGGGCTGAGAGCTCGAAGTGGCTGTGCGTGTCCCCCTTCTTGGGTCCTTGGCCCTCTGGGGAGCCTCTTGGGGGGCTCATGGTAGCCTCGTTTGCGCTTGCCTGCGTGCTCACCCAGGATATTCGGAGCCTCGGGGGGCTTTTATGTTTGTGTTTTCTCATGTGTTCCTTTTTTTCCCCTGGCAACGCACCCCAGCCAAGCACAGTTAGTGAGTCCTCTGGTCAGGTATGCGTCAGATCGCAAAGGACAGTTCTTCATGAAGACGTTGCGTCAACCAAGCTGGATGGTCCACGCCAGTGGCTGCTAGCAGTCAGGTGGGACGGGAGATCTTGGGTGCGATCTTTGGGGCCTCTTGGGTGATCTTGGGGGCCTCTTGGGGGTGTCGTCTGGGTCTCTTGGGGGCCTCTTGGGAGGCAATCCTTGGCGGAAGTTTTGGGTGACCCAAAAGGGGGTCCAGCTGAAAGGGGGTGGTGCAATAGATTTGGGGCGATTGTATTGCAAATGTATTGTGCCAAAGAATTGGATTACACTGTATTGCAAGTGATGCATTGCACGCAAAACTACAGCAATACATTTGCGCCCCGGGATGCACTGCACGCCCCTGATGTATTGCAACCACACAAATCTATTGCACCAAATCTATTGCACCACCCCCTTGTCGCTGGACCCCCTTTTGGGTCCGCCCGAGGAAGTGCTCGACGTCTCCGCTCGGGCTCCCCCCCCTCAGGACCCTCTTGAGGGGGGCTGGAGGCTTCGTGGGAGGCATCTGGGCCCGTCTTAGGGCCCTCTTAGGGCCGTCCTGGGGGCCTCTTGGTTTGAATTGTGGCAATTTGGGGGGGCCTGGGGCTGAATGGATTGCCCTGGGCGGTCGGCAGATTGAAACGGCGGTGGCGCCAACATGTGTCAAACACCTCAGCGAAGTCCATGATCGTCGGCCTCTCGGGGGCCTGCTGGAGCTGGATCTGACCAGTTGGAGGTTATATTGAAGCCCCTTGGGCGTACATGGAGGCCCTCGTGGACACTTCCGCCCATGGATCCCGACTCGAATGACCTCTTAGAGTCATGTTGCCCCCACCGTACTTACGGACCACATCCCAGAAATAATTTTGAGCACCCAGGAAAGTATCGAAACAGTGTGCAACGAGTATGGCCTCCCAGGGCCCGACACGTGAAAGCCTTCGAGTGTCGGTACTTTCCTGGTGCTCGACATTCTTTCTGGCGATCAAGGCTGAAGTAGGTTGGAACATCATAACCTTGGAGCTCCCGGAACGCTCTTGCCCTGTCTCTAGGTCGGGCGTGTCCCCCTACTGGCGGATTTTCGACGAAAAATCAAAAATAGTCAAAACACATTCGAAACTAATCACAGGAGATGCTTGAAAAATCGTCCCCCGACTATTTTTGGACATTTTTTGGGGCGCTCCTGGAATGCTCTTGGGGGCCCCGGCGACCGCCCCCAGGAAATTCTGGCACCCGTGGCCCCGACCGCCCACGGTCCGCCAAGGGACCGGCATGTCCCCCTACAGGCGGATCTTGGGCGAAAAACAAAAAATACCCAACACATACCCTCAAATAGTCAAAACATATTAGAAACATCGTCCCCAGATTATTTTGTGGCCTGCTTTTGAATATTCCCCCTATAGAGGGACAGGCCCGACTGAAACCTTTCGTGCTGGGACGCCCAGGGGCCGCGACGCGCGCGCAGGCTAAAACTAAATCGACTTTTACCAGAGAGTCGAGCACGCCTCTGCCCGCTGTGCCGGCGAACTTCTTCTCTTCGGCACCTCCTCACTCACCCCTCCCTCCCATCTCCCCTTTCCATCTCTCTCTCTCTCTCTCTCCTCTCTCTCTCTCTCTCTTTTTACTATATTTGTTTTCTCTCTCTCTCTCTCTCTCTGGTTCCCTCTCACAGTTATTAAACTTATGACATGTGTCTCTCTCTCTCTCTCTACTTCTCCTCGCTCCCTCTCTCTTTTGCTTTCTCTCTCCTGCCTTTTCACTTCGATGTGTGTATGCCTTCCCTTCCCTTTACCTGCAACGTAATATTGGTCACCTGAACCTCTCGACCCCTCCTCCTCAAGGACAGCATGTTCACCCTGGATTCTTTGTCAACGGCCCGGGGTCCGACAACCGCCACGGGGTACCGACAATGACAAAGAACCTGTGCATGCCTGGGTCTCTCTCTCTCTCTCTCTATCTCCCTCTCGAATGCATGTGGAGACCCGTTTCGGGGCGCACTCTGTCCAAAAGTTTTACGCCTCCGCATATCTATATATATATATATATATATACACATATAGGTCGGGCATGTCCCCCATACATGCGGATTCCTGCGCGAGAAATGAAAGATGGCCAACCAATACACCAGAATGACAAAACATACTCAAAACAATCGTCCCTCGACTAATTTGCAATATTCTTGAGTTTTCCTCCTGTAGAGGGACGCGCCCGACCCAGAGCGTACCTGCAGCCGTGGCGGCGAGTGCGTCCACAGAGGCCCCCGACGGGGCACAGACACACGGCAGCCTCATCCCTCGAGTCTCCTGGATCGGGGAAGCACTGACCAGGAGGAGGAGGAGAAGAAGGAGGAGGGGGAGGAGGAGGAGGGGAGGAGGAGAGGAGAGTGAGGAGAGGAAGGAGTAGAGAGGAGGAGGAGGAGTAGGAGGAAGGAGGAGGAGGAGAGGAGAGGAGGAAGGGAGGAGGAGAGGAGGAGAAGGGGAGGAAGGAGAAGGAGGATGAGGAGGATGAGGAGGAGGACGAGGGAGGAAGGGGAGGAGGAAAAGGAGGATGAGGAGGAGAGAGGAGGAGGAAGGAGGAGGGAGGATGAGGGGGAGGGGAGGGAGGAGGGAGGAGGGAGGAGGAAGAGAAGGAGGGAGGAGGGAGGAGGAGGAGGGAGGAGGGAGGAGGGAGGAGGGAGGAGGGAGGAGGGAGGAGGAGGAGGAGGAGGAGGAGGAGGAGGTGGAGGATCGTTTTCGGAACGTTTTGGCAAGCAACATCGTACAACGAGAGGCGGGCACGGCAAGAGAAGGAGACAGCAACAAGCAGGAGCGCATGTGCCTAAGGCACCCCCCTTTAATCGGAATCGTTGCTAGGGTCGACAGGGAGAGGGACGAGAGGAGCCTCGTCCACCGAAACAGTCAAAGCCTCCCCGATGCCCTGAGTCACAGCCAATTCCGACGGGATGGGATCTCGCGCTCGAGCTCGCTGATCGGCCACGGCAGAAAACCGAGCGTGGCGAAGCAGGACACTCGCCTTGGACGGGCCTGCGTAACTCGGGTACAAACCACGACGAATTCGGGCCAGATTTTCAATGCCCTTGCGAAAAGGCACTTTACAGTCAAGCAACAACTGGCGCCCGTCCGAAGTAGCCGTACGGCCACAACACTGGCAAGAATACCAACTATGCAAATCCCCAAACGCAAGCTTGTGGGACGGATGCAAGACCGCTCCCGACAACGTGACGGGGCCAGGGACCACCACGACAACGTCGGAGGGGAAGGAAAAGGAGGAGGAGGAGGGGGAGGAGGAGGAGGAGGAGGAGGAGGAGGAGGAGGAGGAGGAGGAGGAGGAGGAGGAGGAGGAAGGGGAGGACGAGGAGGAGGAGGAGGAGGAAGAGGAGGAGGAGGGATGAGGAGTAGGAGGAGGAGGAGGACGAGGAGGAGGAGGAGGAGGAGGAGGAGGAGGGAGGAGGAGGGAGGAGGAGGAGGAGGAGGAGGAGGTCAATGCTAAGCAAGGTCAATCAGGATCTGCAGGATCCTGCAAGAATTTGGAGGATCCTGCAAACTTCTGCGAGCAAGCCGGGGCCAGTGCAGCCCTGGCTCTGCAAGATCCTGCAAGATCTGGCGCCCTGGCTTGGGGGAACCAACAAATACCGATACCGCTACCCCCTGGCCCTCTCCCGGTGTGCGTTCTGACCAAGATTTCGAGGCGAATCCAGCGGTGGCGACGAGGGCTTCCCAGGAGGCCCAAAAAGGGGACAACGGGCGAGGGGGGAGAGAAATGGGTACCTTTTCCTTCTTTGATGGCTGACCCCCATTTGCATTGCCCTCCGCCTCTTGATCCCCGACTGGGCTCGGGGATCTCCTAACCCGGGTCAATCAGACCCAGGTCAACTGGAAACCAAAAAACTGCAATGCAAGAAAAACAACTGCAACGCAAGGCTTCGCAAACCCGGGTCAGCTAATATGCGCGGCCGCCTCGCGGCCACGAGCGGCTCGCAAACCCGGGTCAGCCAGAGGGGGTCTTCGCAGGATCCTGCAGGATCCTGTGCCCTGGCTGACCCCCGTTTGCATTGACCCCCGTCTCTTGAGCCCCGATGGGCACGAAGACGACCCCCGCCGGCCCCTCCCGTAGCGGTCGTTGTACGCGGCCATGTTGGTGGGCGCAGCCGGCGCGGCGGGCGCCGAACCACCGTAGCTGGGACGCCTCCCCGGGGGGGCGCGGCCGGGGACGGGCTCGGCAGCAGGGATCGCACTAGACTTACGTCGGGCTTGTCCCTCTACAGGAGGAATATTCAAACATAGCCGAAACATAATGTGAGGACGATTTTCCTATGGTATTATTTTGACTGTTTGGGGGCACTCTTATGTTTGATGTTTCGTCCCAAATCCGCACGTAGGGGGACACGCCCGACCTAACCCTAAACAAGGCTTTTCGTTTCCGTTTTGTTTCCGTTTTCCCTCGTTTTGCGTCCAGTCCACTTGTTGCGCTGCAGGACGAGACCGCGGCCCACGACACCGCCGAAGCACTCTTTGGGTCGACCCCGGCTCGGCAGGGGGGGGGGGGCCTTCTCCTCCTACGCCTCCTGGTCCTCCCCGTTCCTGCTCGAGGGATCGGGGGCCTGTTCCAGGCGGGCCGACCTCAGTGCAGTGGAGGCGACGGGGTCCCGAGTTGCGTGCTCCGCTCAATCGTCGGACTTTCCATCTGCGCCTCGTCAGCCAGCAACGTGCTTTCTTGTGCGACCACTGCCGTGGCCAGTATGAAACGCTGAGTGTGCATGCGCATAGCCCAGGCCAGACATGCGCAGAAGACACGCTTATGTATGCTTGCAAATGCAACCATCCAACACCCCCTGGAATAGCAAGCAATTTGGGTTACGGGAGATGGGCACAATATGTGCAGCCACACCCAGATGGGACTACACAGTCATGGGGCTATACAGTCATCGTGCTCCACGCACGTTGGCTCCGCACGCAGAAATGCCCCACACGTGCAACCCCGCACATATGGTCATCCACATCCGTGGGGCTCTACGATCATAGGGTCGGAGCATACAGCCTTCCATCCACAAAGATACACCAACTGTGCATTTCTGGGTTTGGGGATCCAGGCGCCGGCGTCTCGAGGCCTGGAACGCTCACATCTCCAGCAGGTACACATTCGGAGGGCGATCGCTCGTCAAGGTCAGGATCTCGCGGAGGAGGAGGGGGAGGAGAAGGAGGAGGAGGAGGAGGAGGAGGAGGAGGAGGAGGAGGAGGAGGAGGAGGTGGAGGAGGAGGAGGAGGAGGAGGAGGAGGGGTGAGGAGGAGGAGAAGGAGGAGGAGGAGGAGGAGGAGGAGAGAGAGGAGGAGGAGGAGGAGGAGGAGGAGGAGGAGCAGGAGGAGGAGGGGGAGCAGGGGGAGGAGGGGGAGGAGGAGGGAGAGGAAAAGGATGATGATGATGATGATGATGATGGTGATGATGATGATGATGATGCTGATGATGATGAAGAGGAGGAGGAGGAGGAGGAGGAGGAGGAGGAGGAGGAGGAGGAGGAGGAGGAGACCGTAGCCGTTTTGGCTCAAGTCCGTAGCGTGGCTCAGTGGCCAGCAGCGGGCAATAATTTTGTGGCACAGGGGATCCGCGGCCCCTACCGTCTTTACAGCTGTCAGATATTGCATTTGGGGCGTTGTCCCCTCCTGTTTTTGTCTGCACATCTTTTTCACTTTCCTGTGCCGTGGTCGATGGCAAATGACGGAGCGTACACCGATTTCGAGACGTGGCAGTGTGGCCACAAGAAGTGCGGGTACCGCTACAAAGTCATGTCTCGCTCTCGCTGCAGAGTGTGCGGCCGCTCGGCTCCCAGCGTGCCCTCACCACCGTCAGCGGCAAGGCAGCTCGGGGCGTGGGTCAATGGACCGCCGCCCAAGGGCGCAGGCCGCGGGGCTGGGGGCCCAGGCAAGGCGAGTGGCGGTGGTGGCAAAGGGCATGGTTCGCAGCTCAGCTACCTTGATCCGTCCTCCACCGAGATCTATGCCAGGCTCGACCAGAAAGACTTCGAGGCCCTCTCCGATGAGTGGGCGCCCAAGCTGGTGGCCAAGGTGGTCGCCCATCGCTCCCTCCTTGCAAGTGAGCCGCAGGCGGAGGCTAAGTCTGCACGCGTTGAGCAGGACGTGCTGGCGGCCAAGAGGGACAAGGCGCAGCGGGCCTTCGACAAGGCGCAGGAGGCGGCGGCCAAGGCCATCGCTACTGCGGCGCAGGCCAAGCAAGACTTGGATGAGACAATGGCCAAATGCGCCGATGCGGCTGCGCGCGCGGCCAAAGCTTTCGCCGAGATGGCCGCGCCAACAGCCGACGATCCCGTCAAGCAGCTCACCGCCCTTGCATCAGGGCCCGAGGCCAACGACAAGCTCAAGCAGGTGGGGGCGCAGCTGGCTGCCCTCATCCCTTCTCTTCAAGCTCTTCTTGTTCCTGAGCCTGGTGACGATCCCATGGCAGGGGGAGGCGCGCGAGGCGGCGGTCCACCCGCAGGCGACGGCGCAGCTGCTGCCGCTGACAGCGCACGCGCCTCGGCTGCCGCCGCCGCCGAGTCCGCCCGCCAGGAAGCCGAGCGGGCCGCGGCTGAGGCCCAGGCCAAGGCAGAGGCCGCAGCCCAGCAGGCACGCGAGGGGCAGCCCTACCAGCAGCTCCTCAATTGGATCCAGGAGCACCAGCGCCAGGACAGCAGCAGCGGCGAGGGCTCCTTCACCGAGACCTCGGCCACCACCCATGGAGTCAAGCACGAGTTGGTGCAGGGCATCTTCGACTCGTTGCTCGAGACTGCCAGGAAGAGGGCCAAGCATGAAGATCAGGAGGAGCTTTAGCCAGTGGACCTTTGTCACCTCCAATGCGTCTGGTGTTGGCGGACTCGAAGCCGTACTCAGCCGAGCTCGAGTTCGTCAGTGTCACGCTCTGGGAGCTCAAGAACATCATTTGTTAGCCTCTCAGTGCGACAGCTTGGAGGATAAGATGAGGAGGCGCGGATGGAGAGCAGTGATGACGGCTGCTTCTCCCACGCGTGCAGGCGGCGCAGCTGGCGCCCTTCTGCAATACGTGCCGCAGGCCACGGGCCTGTCCGAGATGGAGTGCACACCGTCCACGTTGGCGGACGGACGTGCTCGAGTGTTGCATTGTGCTGGCGTGACACCCAATGGCTTTCTTTGGATTACGGTATACCTTCACCACTCCGAGGGGCTGTCCTCTCGCAACTGGTCTATTCTGACTCAAATTGGGGAAGTGGTCGAGACTGCCGGCTTGCCTTTCGTGATCGCGGGTGACCTCCAGATGCTGCCAACCGAGTTGCAGGGCAGCGGGCGGATCAGCGCGCTCGACGGCGTCTGCATCTTTCCTGCCTGCGCCGCGTGCGCAAACTCAATTGCGTCAGCAGGTCGAGTGATTGATTTCTTCATCGTTTCTGGGGTCATCGCGCATGGGGCCAAGATCGAAGTCATCATGGGCGGCGGCGCCGCACCACACTTCCCAGTGCTGATGACGTTGCCAGGAGCGTCTAAGGCTATGATGCAGTATCAGGTTGTACTGCTTCCCAAACGTTTCCCTGCCGATCTACCTGTCGCATGCCGTCGAGCCGATCCTCAGCCTCGGTGGGTGCGAGCGTCGCAGCAGATGAGAGGCATGAGCATCGACCAGCAGTGGCAGCTGTGGGTCACCAACGCGGAGTTCGACCTGGCGGACATGCACGACATCGATCCCGCAGGGCAGCCTGCGTATTTCGGCCGCGCTCAGCCCCTGCGTTTCTCATATAAGCCACCGCCCTGTCCTCAGGCGCTGGCGTTCCCGATTTTGAGTCCAGCAGCCCTCTGGTGGCGACTGCTTGCCCGCTGCTTTGAAGGGCTCGCGAGGTGGCAGCCGCCGCATTCGCGAGACGGCACCATCAAGCTCAGTCGCTGTGTCCAAGCTCGGCTCAAGGTTAGTGGCGTCTCTGCTAGTGACGCCGAGCCTTTGATACAGCTTCTGCAGCTGTATTTCTCGCTGCCCTATTCGCTCGCCGCTGCAGCTGCGCGGGTCACCATGGCCCGAGCTTTAGTCGTCTATCGCAGAGCCGAGAAAGATGAGCAAGCGGGGTGGCGCGAGTGGGTCAGACGGCACAGTGTGGACGGAGCCGCTGCCCTCTATGCGCATTCCAGACCAGCCACACCATGGCACTCCAGAAATATCAGCGCCTCTAGGGCGCCCTGTACGATTCAGGAGGAGGTGGAGTTGCTTACTTCGGAGTGGTCTGAGTGGTGGAGGATTGGAAGCCTTGATGGCCATATTCAGTGGCCAGCGGATCTCGGACCTGCCTACGAGCGTCCAACGCCCGAGGCTTTTAAGAAGTGCATTCGGAATTTCCCCAAGAGGTCGGGATGTGGTTTTGATCAGCTCTGCCCGCGGCAGCTTCTGGGGCTTTCGGACCCCGCTCTAGAATCGCTCCTCGACGTATTAGTCGATATCGAAACGGCCGCAGCGTGGCCACGCGTCTGGACCAGGGTGGTTTTTCTGGCCAAACGCGATGGAGGGCTTCGACCCATCGCGTTAATCCACATTCTAGCCCGCGTCCAAGGCCGTCTCAGGAAGTCGCTCGTCGCCCGTTGGCAATTGCAGCATCCGAGGCCCTACTGGTGGTCAACAGCAGGCCGTTCCAGCGACAAGCTTGTCTGGATCCAGTCTGGATCAGCGGAGTGGGGTCTGGCCAAAGGCTTTGCCAGCGCCCTGGTGTTGCTTGGTTTACAGAAAGCTTTTGGGCACATCAGGCATGATATGTTGGTTTCGGCCGCCTTGCGTTCGGGGTTTCCGACCCGCCAGTTAAAGCTTCTCGTTGGGCTCTATCGGTGCCCCAGGGTCCTCTCTCTGAACGATGCCGTCTCCAGTCCAATCGAGACCCTCCAGGCGGTCCTGCCTGGGTGTCATTTTGCAACGTTGATGCTGCAGCTGCTTCTTCTGCAGCCGCTCGACGCTGTGCGCGCGGTCTTTCTCGCAAGTGCATCTTGGCAATGTCGTGGACGACTTTGGCTTACAGAGGCTAGGTCGCGAGCCAGATGTCGCTAATGAGCTCGTCAGTGCCACCCGCTTGCTGCATTGTGAGCTGCAAAAAGTGCACTTGCCTGTCGCCCTGAAGAAATCGCGAGCTGTCGCGCCATCTTCCACGCTGCGCCGATGTCTGGAGCAGCGACCCAAGCAACTCAAGGTCAAGTCGACTCGCGCCGAGCGTAACCTAGGCATTGATTTTGCTGCAGGCCGGGTGTACAAGCAGGTCACGCGTGCGAGCAGAAGGGCGCCAGCTCGCGCGCGTGCTCGCAAGTTTCTAGTTTTCTCTGGGCTTGCCAAGCAGAAGCGCATGCACACCATGGCGAAGAGTGCGGCGCTTGCGTCTTTCAAGTACGGCTGCAAGGTGCTCGGCGTCACGGGTACCGACCTTCGGCAGGCGCGCATGATGCAAGCGCATGTGCAGGCGCGCAGTAATGCTGGCAAGTCGATTAGTCTCATGTTCATGCTTGCTGATTCGCCACGCACTGATCCTGCCGACTCCCTCAACCTCGATCCTCTGCGTGCTCTCGCCACGGTTGTTTGGGAGCAGTGGCTGCAACGCAGGATGCTAGAGCAAGGGTTGAGGGAGGCGGTGCAGCGGTTTAAGGGGGCACTGGAACCCTTGGGCTAGCGTCCGCGGGCATTTTTTTCTGCGCGTGCTGCTACGGCGCTCAGACTTGGAATCGCCGTTGACGGTTTCTCTTGGTCCCACCCTGATTTAGGCTGTGTTGACGTTTCCGAGG